TTTTTTTTCATTGCACTCTATTTTGTTGTGTCCAATATAGATTCCAAGACATTTTACAGTATTTACATTTATCTTAACATTTCCTACATATGCGTTATCTTGAAACATGTTTTTTAGCTCCCCTAGTAAGATACATTCCGTTTTTGATAAGTTAAGTTTTGTTCCTGATACACTTCCAAATTTTTCTATTATTTTTATGGCGTTTTTTAAAGAGTTTATATCTTTTAAGGGGAAAGTACTATCATCTGCATGCTGTATGCATTTTATTTCGTTTTCCATCTTTTCATGCTTAAAACCTCTAAATAAACTTGAACCGTTTATGTTTTCATTTCAAACTTCCATTGCAAATAAAAATAATAATGCCGAAACCGGACAACCTTGTCGTATTCCTCTTTTCATTTTGCATTTTCTCGAAATCCAGCCATTGTTTTTTTATAGTGAATTGCGGATTTGTATATAAAATTTTTATCGATTTGATAAAATTTTCACCAAAATTGAATTTTTCTAATGTTTTAAATAAAAAATTCCATTCGATTGAATCAAATGCTTTCTGAAAATCAGCGAATAAAAGAACACCATCCGTATCTGTGTTTTCACAATATTCAAATATATCCAGAATAAGTCTAGCGTTGTTACCAATATATCGTCCTTTTATATAACCTGATTGATTTCTACTTATTAATCTGTTAATAACTTTTTGTAATCTTTTTGCAAATACAAATGCAATTACTTTGTAATCCCAATTAGTAAGGCTTATTGGTCGGTAATTTTCTAATTTATCTAATTCACCTTTCTTGTGTATAAGAGAGAGCACTGAACATTTCTGTGTTGAGGTCAGCTCTTCATCGATATATATTTCAGATATAGCTTCGAATAGAAAATTCCGAATGTTTTTCCAAAATATTTTATAAAACTCGACAGGCAGCCCATCAAGACCTGGAGATTTATTATTTTTCATTCCAAGTACTGCCTCTGAAAATTCCTGCAAAGTGGGAAATTTTTCACAATCTTTTTTATCATTCTCTGACAGAATGGATAATATATTTGTTTGTTCTAGATATGTATTGATACTATCATTTGGTACATCGTTTGAAGAGTATAAATTTTCATAGTAATTACATAGCTGGTTTAAGATTTCATTTGTTTTTACAACAGTCGTACCTGCATTTGTGATTTTATTAATAACGTTTTTAGACTGATGTTTATTTTCAAGTCTTAAGAAGTAAGGTGAATTTTTTTCTCCTTCGTCTATCCATTTAGCTCTTTTTTTTATTTTATTTTTTTTTCTTTTTACAAAATATAAATGTTTTAACATTTTATGAAGAGTTACGACCGCCCTTTAAATTTAAAAACGACTATTTCTTGCTTCCTCTCGAGCTACTTATAATTACAACAAACGGTAATATGCCAACAGACAATTACAAAAAATTCTACCCGTATAATATAAAGGGGCTTAAAGAAATGAAACAAAAATAAATTAGTCTTGCATGATTTAATAAAAAAAAAAACATTAAGCAAATGGAATATTTTGAGTTTTTGCACAGTCTTATGAATATCAATGAGAAGCAAATAAAGGAAAATTTTAAGGGTTCTGAAATTGTAATCCATATTGACTTCTGAAAACTAGAATTGCAAATACGACAAAGAAATACATTTAGTTTTCATTTTGGTGCTAGCCAAGTTCAGGTAACCCTCGACCCTGGCGTAGTCTACCATGCAAACAATGCTTTGTTCTCGTTTTGCTCAGTTTCAGATTTGTACTCACTTATTACCCATTTTGCAACGATTGCAACAAAAAATTCCAAGCATTGAAACTGTCTATTTTGGAAGTGTTGACCCAACCTATCAATATCGTTGCAAACAAAAAAGTTTTATTTATTATATCTACGCAGTTATTAGAAAACTTTCATTTCAAGTCTGTAGGGATCATAAAATTTTCTAGAGGCGGGTTATGGCAAGGGCCCGGCAGATGACATTGGTGGAGCTATCAAACGAGCTGTGGACGCGGTTGTAGCTAATAGAGGGAGCATAACCAATGCAAAATCTCTCAAGTCTGCCATTTCTGAGAAAACCAAAGTAGTAATGTTCGTAATTCATGAATCATACATAAACATTATTGAGAAAGTCATCCCAAGTAATCTTTCCACAATACCAAGGACAATGAATTAAACTGCATCGGGTATTTCAATCAGAAGTTCAGAACATTTGAAATACCATGCCTTAGATAATTGACGCGGAAAAATGAAAAATGTTTCTTATTCATAAATTTATTACTGTGACAAACGATATGATGCCTGTTTTTAAAGCAAGTAAATCTTACAGAAGTAGATCGATACAAGCAAGAATCCGCAGCTGTTTTTGTTCTGCTGGACCCTGCTCTTGTATTTACCTGACCACAGTGGAGTTGAACGTTTGAACAGTCACATGCTGCTGATGATAAAATATCACAACCTGGTCTTGAACCAAACGCGGCTGATGAATCTCCAGTTACAAAATGTAAATGAATTCAAAGTGAAGGTCATGCACCGCATAGGAACAAACAGATTTTTGGCCGCTGTTGGAAGATATCCAATGGTATTCTCATGATGGCGTTGTTGCTTATATATTGGGCAGCCAAGTGCTGTTGGAAGTCTGCATTTCCTATTATCAAAAGCCGAATTGGAATTTGTTGCAAAAAGTTTAAATCTGTGACCTGGTCAAGAAATTCCAATATATGAAACCATAGCTTCAAAATACTGACATTTCAGATGTCACATTTCTTGCTCAAGTCACATTTTAAAATTTATTCTTGAGTTAACTTTTAAAATATACAGTTTTCATTAATGAATTTGATCTGAATTTAGTAAAATGAATATTATTGAATTTTAATCTTTTTTTTATTTTTGCAAGTATCACCATTGTAAATACCGCAACTGTGTGATATTTCCACACAACACAGTGTCACTGCCACAACAATGTCAAAATTAAAGAAAACCATAACATGTATTTGTATCTGATATTCTTTTTTGAGTTTATGAAAGATTAATCATTATGGAACAAGTCCAAACCATCGTCACCAATATGATTTGAGATATTTGGGCTTTTTTCATTACAGTAGGAAAAAAATATTACTGAAAACTACATATTTGAAAGTAACTTCCTTATTCTTTTAAATACACGTATTTGGATTTCATTTTTTAGAAAAAGAAAAAAAATCAGAGCAAGTAAACTTTAATTATTTTTTTTTAATTATTTTACTAAAATTTAGAAGCAAAATGTTTTAAATGAAGATTTTAATGAAGTACGAAGTTTGTTGCGGTAATGACTTCTAGTTTCGCTCTTGCTGACGAAATGCAACTTGTCTGGAAAAATGACGAAAGCATTTTCGATGCCATATGCAGATATTGTTTTCAATGGTTAATAGGTATTACAACACATTTACTGAAAAACATCGACGAAAATTTAACGTGGAATTTCTGAAAATCGATATCCCAAACCCCTTCTAGTTAAACAATACCAATAATTTTTTTAAAAGGGCTACTCAACAGATTTTTTCGTAAATTATCAAAATCAAGACATGAAGAGTATATGTATACAAATAAAACTTCTGTATTCACATATCATTTAGTAAACATAACACCATTCTTTTACTTAGTGAAAAATCCTCCCTTTTACTTCTTTATATCAATTTATAGAAATGCATGTATATATGTAGAATTTCACATATGAATATACTGAGCAAAATAAATCTAGCAATTGTATTTCTATAGGTATAATTTAAAAATATTTTTCGAAATTGTTTTATTTTTGTCTACTTTAAATCAATATAGAAAGAGGTAACAAAAGACTCACTTCTTTTTTTAAGGACGTTCGATCCTGATATTTTGAGCGTATTTCGCGCAGGTCCTTTATTCATTAAATTAAGCATCATTTTTAGGTTCTAACAATAAAACTGAATTCTACAATGCAAATTAATCTGTATTCAATGAAAAAAACACGATTAAATTCCATTAATTAAGACACAAATTGCAGTGCAGAAAGGTCATATTAAATGTACTGTAGCGCTAAAAGAAGCATATTGACCCCCATTTTTTTATTTGAATTTTAATTAAGCTATGTATGTAGAAACTAAAAATATACTTGGCAAAAAAAGTTTAAGACTTTAAATATCAGGATCGAACGTCGTTAACTCGACGCACAGAAACCGCGTCGTCCTAAGTTGTGACAATTCAACAATACAAAACGTTACGCTCGAACGCACATGGTCCTGGAAGAAGTTATTACTTGAAAAGCCATTCGTTCACGCTTGGAAAAGAAAACCAGTGAAAAAATGCAAAAACGTCAAATAGGGAATTATCCGATTATCCGGGACTTTTCAAAAATGAACGTCGAACGACTATAGAGATGCCACCGCCGGTTGCTGAAAAAAAGATGTCGCGGAACACTTTTTTGTGCATCCGTTCACCATATGTTGACTTTTAAACCGATCCCAGACCACTTGACATGTTTGTAATTGTCAGCGCTCAGAACGTCCACGAAAAACGACGGTTATAGGCAAAATTGTTTTACTGCTACAACGTCGAGACATAACCGTTTCGTGGCTGCTTCTAAAGTTGCAGACGAATTACGCCGTGCAACTGGACTGAGGTTATGTGGACTAAGTTTTAAAAAAACAGCTAGGTTTGCAAATCTTCGAGCTCGAAAACCTCTCACAACAGTACCACTAACTCAACGTCATCGACAGTCCCGCCTCGCATGGGGAATGCTCGCACGACACACCCGCTCTCCTTCATCAGAATGATGTTTAGACCTTCGATTGTGATTTGTCACCCATTGAACACGTTTGAAACATTCTTTGTCGTCGTTTAAGACAGCGACATAACGTCAACAACGTTGCAGAACTTACCCTTGTTCTGCAGCAGGAGTGGAAAAAAAGGAAAGGACGTTCTAAGTATTAAGTACTTGTGTCCAATCCTTTTGTTGTAACATCTTAACAATAAAATATGTTCAAACCAGCAGGAGTGGAACCAGATCACCATGCTCGAGATACAAAACCTTATAAGGAGCATGAGACGCCAATGTGTTGTTGTTATCTCTTCAATTGAAGGCCTTAAACAAAATTGAAATTGAATCTGACTTTTTAAACCCGTATCTGTGATCAGTTTCACGATATTTCTTACAAAACAGCACACAATTGTCGATAAAAATTGCCTTATTCTGTTATGTGATGACAAGCTCATATCATAGTTCAATTGTAAGTGCTGTTTCTCCTTTTTTCCACTTTCTTTTATGATAAATATCTTAAGTTGCTAAACTTATTTTGCTCAGCATATTTTATGAGGATACATACAGTGATCTCAAAAAATAAAATTCCCATCACAAAGCATTTGCATGATTATAGCTCATATTACAAATTCATATACTTACTGTTAAGAATAACAAACGTAAAAAGCAGATTATTTTTCTCCATTTACGATGAAATATGGAAAACAGTTTCAATGAATAATTTTACAAACATTTATAAGCTTTGTTTCCCAAATAAGAGAATGAAGCATCTTTGATTTCCCTTTGACACCTCCAAAAGGTAGCTTGATTTTACAGTGGTGGTTTTACGTAGAAATAGGTGCCATTATGAGGAATGCAGCAAACAGGAAGACCCAGGTTCCTTGGATAGCTAAGGTTCTACTACCTAATAAATATACTTAAAATCAGTAACTATATCTATTTAGCCTTTTTTTATTCATAAATAAATGTGTTTTGAATTTAACAGATACTTCAAATACTTTTCATATATAATGAGGAATAAATTTGAAAACCATTGTAATAGTTTCTTTTTAAGATTAATATTATTTTACTTTCCTGTATTTTCCTTATATGTAAGGCTCTACCGAGCTTCGAAAAAAGCTGAACACGACTCGTAAATAGGCACACATCCATTTTCGATAGTACTATTTAAGATAGCAGCACTGAGGTATACCCTTTGCATTCATTACACCTGACTACTTTATGCTCATGGGTATCGGCATGGAATAGCAATTCGTGTTAGTGCTGGACCGTATCTAGCATTACCTTTGTTAACATTTAATTGCAGTTATGAGTATTTGTGTTCGTTTGTTTGTTTACTGCATTGGCCTGAACATCTGTTTGATATCTTTGCTGCTTGGCATCTTACTGTCCTAGATTAGAAGAAGTACACAGTTATTATTTGTCGCTTCCGAGTGCAAACATACGTCCGTCTGCACTGGTGACGACCGATTCACAGGTACTTGTGAACGTAGTCTTTTTACCGATTGATTTTAATGGACTGAATACACTGAACAGTGATTAAGTGGGTAGCTTAATATAGGGACCCTCAGATATAGCGAGAGAACGATCGTATATAGCGGAGAAATACCTTTTTACGAATCGTGTCCAACTTGAGGTTGTCTTGATTCGCGGAATTTGTAAATTGTATCACTCAGTATTCATGTTACCTTTGGAAGTACCACATTTTGACACAAATTGCGGAACATATCCGTCAGCTGTTTTGTACATTATGTCTCCCTCACAAGCACTCCTCTGGCTCTCAAAACAAGGCTGCACCGCACGGAAACTCTCGCTGGAAAACCATATTGTTGTAGAAAGCAATATATCTTAATATCTTTAAATTTTACATGAACATGATTAATTAATAATTTATCAATCTATACTTAATGAATATTATTATCACTTTAAGGAAAGAGATCTATAATAGAAAAGTAAGTTTGAAAATAAAAGTGAGCCTATATAGCTTTAATAAATCGATGCATAGTACATTGTCCAATACAGGAGTAAGCATCCCCTTGAGCTTGAATCCAATTTTTGAAATATGGTACAGAAAAATAAAAGACAGTTTTAATAGGTCTTTAATATATGTATTCTGTAAGAATTCAGTTTATTGAATTTACATTTAATGAACAGACAGACACGTCGAGATGGAACAGGATTTTGCCTCAACAAGTTTTAAACAAGCCTGGTTGCTATTCGCAGAAGAACTGTGTCTATTGTTTGTAGTGAATGTATGAAAAATAGACCGAGTTCCATGCTAAAGTACTGCTGCTGCTGATGAGGTTAATCATAGATACCCATCTTAAATCACAGGTATACAACTATACATCTATAGAAATGATTTACAGAGAAGACTTGTCATATTCCTGAAGGCACGATGGAAGCAGTTTCAGTTAAGGGAAAGGGGGAATCAAACACTTTCAGATGGGGGAGGGGATCGAGGGGCACTATCGAAATTAAAAAATTCTTTTTCAAAAATGGTCTACAAACGTAATATTGAGTCTAATGTCAAAGTCAATATTAATGGTATCAGGAGGAAGGTATTTTCACAAGGTATACATTTGTGAAATATGAAAGCTTTAATACATATATGAACATTTCAAAAGTTATGGTCAAGGTAGAAGTTTTTAACAAATGGGTCAAACTCCAAGGTCAAAAATATTTATTCCAATTGAAACGTCTTGCAGTAATGAATAATTATACATGTGAAGTATGAAACTGTTCAAAAGTTATGACTAGGATACAAGTTTGGTAATTTTTGTAAAAGTGGGTCAAATGTTACGGCCAAGAGGTCAATGTTGTGGAACCAAAAGAAAGGTCTTGTCACAAAGAAAACACCTGTGAAATATGAAAGCCCTTGCTCCAACCAGTCAAAAGTCATATTCAAAGTTTTTGTAGACAAACAAATAAACAGTTACACAAACAGACGGAAGGACAGGACAAAAGCTATATTTTCCCGAACATTCGATTACAGGGGCATAAAAAAAATTAATATGATATTCAATATATATTAGTATATCCTAGAAAGAGATTATCTTTTCCTATGTTTTTAGAAAGTAACTTTATAAAAAGATAAATAAACAATACCAGTCAAATTTCTCTGGATCGTTTGCTAAAACAGTAATATCTATCCCCTTGTCTGTGAAGCACTTGATGAAATCACATCTGGAATTACCTATAATAATCACAATTACGTCAGTAGACCTAGATTACAGAGCTGAAAAGCCAAAATACTTATATTTCAAAGGCTTGAAAAATGTCTTATTTCCGCTATATAATTACGGTTATCACTTTAGTAAATCAAAGTGCCAAAGTTACCACTAAGTAAATCAAAGTGTCAAAGTTATGCTATGGTAAATCAAAGTGTCAAAGTTATCAATATAGTTTACTCTAGTATTTTTTTATTAGGACAGATTCTTACAAGGAGTACAAATCCTGTTTCGACTGTTACAGGAAAACAAGACAATTATGGATGATTAACATATTTTTACTACGTTTATTTCGAGTTAAAAATTTAATGATTTATTGAAGGAGACATTCATAATTTTAAGAGCAAAATTGTTTGTTTGTTTAACGTTTGGGAAATTTTCACTCATAATGAGACTCCACCAGCTGTCAACGGGAGGGATGCAAATTCAGCATTTGGGCATTGAGGACTTTTCTGTGCCAGGAATTCTTGCGTAACGGGACTTTGATTTATAAGGTCTCGTCCAAAGGACCGATCTCGATCCACTTCCCGTAGTTGGACTTGAACCGTCGACGTTAAGAACATCTTACTCAGCGACGCTTACCACTGCGCCATACGGAGAAATATACAAAAACGTTTATGATAACCGGTCTGCATTGTTCTTGTACATACCACATGTCATATTGATTATCTGTAAAATCTGCATGAAACCTGGATCTGAAACACAGGAACTTTTGAACTGCTCAAGACAAGCTGCTACCTGTTCCAAGGCTCTGTAAAGTCAATAAAATAATTGTGCTGTCTTTCATTCATCTTCCCTATAATTTTACCGTTTTAAAGGACTTGGAAAAGTAAATCAAACAAATATATTTCTCTTTTTTATATATAAATCAACATTCTAGATTCATTGCTTTATTACAAAAGTAATATTTATTAGGTTTTCTACTAGATAGATAACAGAAGAGCTTATGTTAAAGTTTAAGTATCCGTCGTCCGTCTGTCTGTATACTTTTTGGGAGTTGAACTATGTTCAATCTCCCATGGTCATCACGCATTTAACATGCGCAGTATTTTGTGTTGATTACATAGAGACGAAAGCGAGGCTACTGTGTCGGCTGATTTACTCCGATGATATTCAACAGAAAGCATGCATAAACATCCGCGACATATAGTGCATGTCATTTTCTCCTGAATCAATCTAATTTCCATAATGTAAGTAAATGTTATGATACAGTTATCTTATTTTGAATATTAGAATTCGTTCAAAGTACTTATGTAAAACTAAATTATAAAGAACCATGAAAGTTTTTCGTAATGGAACTCATTTTTAGTGTAGCGTCATGCACTGAAAGAGATACGAACGACAACTCTACATACTGACGGCAAACGTTAAATTTTGTCATATTCAAACTTTTCATGTACATTTTCTTGGTTCAATTGAATTCGTTAATGCATAAAAACTTTAGGAAACATGCGTATTTATTACTTAATCAGCAGTATTACCTGCAAAAAGCGGTAAAACTAGTACTCTGTTATAAATATTAAAACCAAAAACGGACACCGATGTTTTCGTAAAATTGGGATTAAAAACAACAAAATGAAGTAAATATTTTTAATAAAAGAAAAACCTCATTTACATACCAGATAATTTGTACGCACACAAATTCTCGCATATACCACTGTTTTTATGTTTTGTCAATAAATATTTGTTTTTAACTTGGTATTGCTCTTTTCTTCACAATATTAAAAAAGATTAAGTTCTGACGTACTCAATATATAATGTTCGTGTAATTGAAATACATTTTTATTCACAGAGAAGTTTTATACAACAAACCTGTTAGTTCTTAAAAGGATGCTGTGTTAAAATCCACATTTTATCAACATTGATATTATTCCTGCGAAACTGAAATTTTCATAACACCTGGGTAAAGGTGCAAAGGAAAAACTATTACAAATTTGAAGACTGTGAGCAGTGATATAAATGATCAACCGCGTCTAATATGAATATAATGGCAGTGTGCATGTTTTGCAATGGGAAACCCAAAATATGTGTAGGATGAAAAATTAATAGAAGCACAACGACAATATGTAATAAAGATTCTATGAAAATTTTGTCCAGTGGTGTTAGAGGAGTTGCAGATAAGAGATGGGTATACCTAAAGTGTAACAAACAGATGGACAGAAATAATGATTAATAAATTCCCTCCCGCTTTTCAAGCAGGGTGTATAAAAAAGGATTAATGTACGCAGGCAAGCATTACGGCCCATACATTTCTTTTTTGCTATTCAATGTCTCTGAATGTCTTTCTCGGTCAAGATTGTTCCAACTCAAAAAATGATAAACAGTTGTCTGTATTTGAAAATACAGACATAATAATAATTAATACATGTAATATTGTTCACTCACTTAACCTCCCGATCAAAGTTTTTATTTACACCATGTTCAACTCCCATGAGTGCTTTCAGTACTTTGATTTGAATTCTACTTCTGCTACATTTTTGATTTCGATGAACGATATTGTCATGAAATATTTTTTAAATTCCTCTCCTCCTACAGTTTTGGTCTGGTTCCAATATTACTTGGCACACAGATAGACTACACTAAGATTCACAATATTGTCTATCGGTTTTTCAATGAACGGTGTTGGTTTATAAAAAGTTTTTTGTTGTTTTACGTCCATTTCGAGAATTTTCACATATTATATGGAGACGCCAGCATATGCCAGTAAACAGTTTTCAGCAGAGCAGGCCAAGTTTCTGGAATTAACAGAAATTGGTATAATTTGAAAGACTGAGTGATCATGAGAGAACTTACTAGGTAGACTTCCTTAGAAAAAAAATCAACCAAACTGATGAAAGTGTTAATTCTACAGCATGTGAGAATACGAACTGTTACAATATATCTCTAGCAAAGCAAAATGAACTAGTTCTAATTGTAACGGGGACCGTTACAGATGTTCCCCAAACGCTCCCCAACTCCCTTTTTGTGCAATTTCCTTTAAAACTTTTTTCAATATGCTTAGTATCGCAGGATTTCATAAAAGAATTTTTAAAGCTACAATGATATAAACCTTTTGTCATTTAACGCATTGTTCGCAAACGCACGTGCATGCACGTGCAAGGTGATCATGACATGTTGTCTTAACCATTAACATATCTTTATATTCCAGAAATCAATAAAAAGTCATAAAAATATAAATTTTACCGTTTTTCAAACATATTGTTCATTTTACGCATTGCGTGTGCGCATGTGCATGCAAGCACGTCCTTGCATTCAATTTTGATAGTAACATCATGTAGGAATCCATAACACCTATTCATATTCTAAACTTCATCCTGTTTTGTTGAGAAACAAGAAAGATATAGACATGTAAAGTTTCAGCCAATCAGATTGCAGCACACGTGGATTTATGAGCTTTCATGATAATTCTTATATATCATGCGGTAGATCTTCATAATATGTGACTAAGTTCAAAATTTCAAAGGATTATGACGTAAAACAAGAAAGATATTGAGACTTTAGTTTCAGCCAATCAGAGCAAAGCGCACGTGCATGCGCGTACGATCTTGCAATTTTTACCATGTCGTCTTGTCCATACTACTATATTCATGCATTGTGAGTTTCAAAAAATTCCATCAAGAAATATAAAAATTACGGCTTCATCCATTATCTTGGTAATTTCACATGTTGCACGTGCGCGCTCTTGCCAGCACACGCGCATGTACGTGCTTTCATGATAATTATTATATATCATGCTGTAGATCTTCATATTGTGTGACTAAGTTCAAAATTTCAAAGGATTATGACGAAAAACAAGAAAGATATTGAGACTTTAGTTTCAGCCAATCAGAGCGAAGCGCACGTGCATGCGCGTGAGATCTTGCTATTTTGACCATGTCAACATGTCTATACTACTAATATATACTTATATTATGAGTATCAAAGCATATAATCAAAAAATAGAAAAGTTACGGCTGTATCTATTATTTTGGTCATTTCACGCATTGCACGTGTGCGCTCTTGCAAACACGTGCGCGCAAAATGACCTTCGTTCCGCAAATCTACATAACATGCCTACTGACCCTAAAAAGGTTTCACCTAAGTCGGACGTGTAGTTTACAAGATCATTCGCGGAAAAGATTTTCCCAGGAAGAAGAAAAATAATAACTAGATAAGATCTCGTTGCGAGCAACGAGTAGGTCTTCCGTTGAATTTCTCGATAAGATGAGATGTGATTTTGACTGAGATATTCGTTAAAAGAGAATGACATTAAGTTTTCCTTCATTAAATTTAAAGTTTCTGATTTTTATCACGATTTTCCGAACATCTTTTGTTCAATATGGCTTATAAAAATACTCCCCCTTTTCGAGACGTAAAGCATAAAAAATATAGTATTTTGGCCCCTTGCGACCCCTTATTACGTAAGATATGACCACATTTTATAATATATTATTGCAAATCGTAAAGATGAATATCTTTGCTTCTGTAATGTATTACAAAATATTGATTATTAAAGAGGTACAGATGCAAGACAATTGGCCCCTTTAAGTCCCTAATTTAAGGAGTCAGCCTCTTTTTCTTGATATAAAATGATATGTCTTGTGATTTTGAAGATTTGTTGTATCACAAAATATTGATCATTAGAGAGTTATAGATAAAAGAATTCTGGCTCTTCTGAGCCCCTAATTTGAGGGGTCAGCCCTATTTTCTTGATATCAAATGAAAGGTCTTGTGATTTTGAAGATTTTTTGTTTAACGTTTATTCAGAGATTTCTATTCGTTGTTGAGATATGCTAAATGGAAATATTTAGGGGCCACCCCTTAAAGTCCTTAATAGGTCCGTTTTTCAACAATTCAAAGTATGCATATTGTTTAGCACAGTATTCTGACCATCTTTTCAATATTGCTTATCAAAATATTTCCCCTTTTGAGATATAAAGCGTCAAAGATTTGACATTCTGACCCCTTGTGATCCCTAATTACGTAACATATGATCCAAATTCTATAATATATTGTTGCAAATCTTTAAGATGAATATCTTTGCTTCAGTAATGTATGAAGGAAAATTGATCATTATAAAGTTATAGATGAAAGACTTTTGGCCCCTCTGAGCCCCTAATTTGAGGGGTCAGCCCCTTTTTCTTGATATCAAATGAAAGGTCTTGTGATTTTGAAGATTTTTTGTTCAACACTTATTGAGAGATTTCTTTTCATTGTGGAGATATGCTGAATGGAAACATTAAGGGGCCATCGCTCAAGGTCCTTAATGGGGTCGTTTTACAAAAAATTCAAACAATATTTATTGTTTAGAACTTTATTCTGACCAACTTTTGTTCAATATTGCTTATCAAAATAGTTCCCCTTTTTGAGATATAAAGTGTCAAAGATTTGACATTTTGGCCCCTTGTAACCCCTAATTACGTAAGATATGATCCAAATTTTATCATATATTATTGCAAATTGTTAAGATGAATACCTTTGCTTCAGTAATGTATCACAAAATATTGATCATTAAAGAGTTAAAGATATTACACTTTTGGCCCCTCTGAGCCCCTAATTTGAGGGGTAAGCCCCTTTTTCTTGATATCAAATGAAAGGTATTGTTATTTCAAAGACTTTTTGTTCAACACATATTCAGAGATTTCTTTTCGTTTTGGAGATATGCTGAATGGAAATATTTAGGGGCCACCCTTACAAGTCCTTAATGGGGCCATTTTACAAAAATTCAAAGTATGCATATTGTTTAGAATATTATTCTGACCATCTTTTGTT